TCACGCAGCTTCTTAATGAAACCGAGCTTGGGGATCGAAAGCCTTCGCAGTTGCTGCACAAGATGCAAACTCTAGCTAAGCCTCTCGCTGTTGGCGACTCTTTCCTTAAAGAGATGTGGCTTCGTTGCCTGCCACGTGACATGCGCAATCCCTTGTATGCAAACGATGCGCCTCTTCCTCAGCTCGCCGATATTGCCGACCGTATTTGGGAATCCAACGCCCAAATATCTCAGGTTCAGTCTACCTCCAGTACAGAGGTAGCAGAACTAAGAGCGCAAGTATCCGCATTGACCAACCGACTAGAGAAGCTAACACAATCCGGATCCAACCGCCGAAATCGTCCCAGTAGTCGCAGTCCTCCTAGATCACGTTCGAAATCTCCCCCTAGGTCAAGCTATTGCTGGTACCACGAGCGATTTGGTCATCAGGCCAGATCGTGTCGCCCACCTTGTTCTTTCAAGCGCAACATGCAGGGAAACGGGTAGGCCAGCACGTAGGGGCGACGGACGTTGCTGGCTGCCCCAGTCGCCTTTTCTTTGTCACCGATCGCAGTACGGGAGTACGCTATCTCGTTGACACCGGCGCAGAAGTCAGCGTTATCCCACGTGATTCTAATGACGTTATCGAAGAGGCGACCGGTTCTTTGCGCGCTGCAAACGGCACCACCATTCGCGTGTATGGTCAACGCTCGCGCACGCTTAATCTAAACCTACGACGTTCATTTAAATGGATCTTCCTCGTCGCAGATGTCCAGACGCCAATTCTTGGCCTTGACTTTCTGCAGCACTTCGATTTACTTGTTGACGCGAAGCAACGCCGTCTCATCGACCGTCAAACAAACCTGGCAGTTATAGGTACTTTGACCGACATTGAGTCAATCAGTCCTGTATACGCCAACCTGTCAAGCTCGCCTATCGGTCAGATGCTTAATACGAAGTTCCCGCAAGTCTTTCGTGCAATGACACCGTTTTCATCCGCCACTGAGGCCGCGAAACATCACATCGTTACGAAAGGTCCGCCTGTTTTTGCCAAAGCCAGGCGAATGACCCCTGACAAGTTGAAAATTGCTCGCGCAGAATTCGAGCACATGCTTGACCTAGGCATCGTTCGCCCGTCTAACAGTCACTGGGCGTCGCCGCTCCACATGATGCCCAAAGAGTCTGGAGACTGGCGTCCATGTGGTGATTACCGCGCGCTCAATAACGTTACTGTTCCCGACCGATATCCGATTCCTCACATTCAGGACATCACGGCAAGCCTGCGCGGCACCCGCTTGTTCTCGAAAATCGATCTGGTTCGCGCGTATCACCAGATTCCAGTCGTTGAGGAAGACATACCGAAGACTGCCGTAATCACGCCTTTTGGGCTGTTCGAATTTTTGCGTATGCCTTTCGGTCTTCGCAACGCAGCCCAGACTTTTCAACGACTCATCGATTCAGTCACTAGAGGTCTAAATTTCGTCTATGCATACATCGACGATATCCTAGTTGCCAGCGCCTCTGAAGAACAGCACGCAGAACATCTCAAAATACTTTTCGATAGCCTGGCCGCTAATAGCATCACTGTCAACCCCGATAAATGCGTATTTCAGCAGCCTTCCATCGAATTCCTTGGCCACCATATCGATCAGTATGGCATACGGCCTCTAGACGATAGAGTCCGCGCCATCAGAGACTTTCCGGTTCCGACTACGTTAGCCGCTATTCGCCGTTTTAACGGCATGCTCAACTATTATAGACGTTTTCTTCCACACTGTGCCAATTTGCTAAGTCCACTAACCGACCTACTTCGTGGACGTAAAAACGGTCAGGTGGAAATGACTGCCGCTGCTGCTGAAGCTTTTAAAGCCAGCAAAGAAGCCTTAGCCAAAGCCGTTATGCTTCATCATTTCGATCCGAATGCTCCACTCAGTGTTGCTGTTGACGCATCAAACACCGCCATTGGCGCCGTCCTACAGCAACATACAAATGGGAGCTGGAAACCTCTTGCATTCTACTCTAGACGCCTACAACCCGCCGAAGTCAAGTACAGCACGTTCAGTCGCGAACTGCTAGCCGTTTACTCTACAGTTCGACATTTCCGACACGCCCTCGAAGGTAACACCTTCATTATCTTCACCGATCACAAGCCGCTTATCTACGCATTCCGAAATCAATCAGCTCGACACTCACCACGTGAGATTCGTCAGCTGGATTTCATTGCTCAATTCTCGACTGATATCCGACACATTTCTGGCCAACCAAACGTCGTCGCTGATGCTCTTTCAAGAGTATCTGCGATTGGGCCTGCCGGGCAGGCAATCGATTTGTCTGCTATGGCCGCCGCGCAATCAAACGACCAAACTTTTTCGAAACTCCGCGATTCTTCTTTGGAGATATCCCCGCACCCTCTGCCGTCATCTGATGGTACCATTTTATGCGACACATCTACCGGACGACCTCGACCCGTCGTTCCAGAAACTTTTCGCCGTATCGTTTTCGATACCCTCCACAATATCGCCCAGCCAGGCGTTAAAGCTACTGCTAAGCTTGTCTCTGAGAGATACGTTTGGCCGGGGATGCAACGCGATCTTACGCGCTGGGCACGCAGCTGTCTCACCTGCCAGCAAGCCAAGATTCAGCGGCACGTGTCCGCTCCGCTTGGTCGCTTTCCGTCCGTTTCAGCGCGATTTGCCCATGTTCATCTCGACATAGTGGGACCACTGGCCCCGTCCAAAGGAATGGTCTATATTTTGACCATGATCGATCGTTGCACCCGTTGGCCCGAAGCCGTTCCCATCCCTGACGTAGCTGCGGAAACCGTAACACGCGCTTTTGTCGAGCGTTGGGTCGCTTCACACGGCTGTCCAGCCACAGTGACTACAGACCGCGGTCCGCAATTCGAATCGACGACCTTTAACGATCTCCTTAAACTCATTGGATGCCAACGCATTCGCACGACCGCCTATCATCCGCAAGCGAACGGCATGGTGGAACGTTTCCACCGACAGTTGAAAGCCTCACTTAGCGCCGCCAATGCGCTGAGTTGGACTGAGGTGCTGCCTGTGGTCCTCCTTGGGATCCGATCAGCCCTAAAGGCCGATCTACGTACGTCTAGCGCTGAGTTAGTATATGGTCAACCACTGCGTTTACCTGGCGATTTCTTCTCCGTTAGTCCCAGAATTACCCGTTACGACGCAAATTATGCACGGCAGCTAGCCACGAGCATGCGTCAGTACAAGCTTCCCGACGTTAGAGAACAGCAACGTAAAACTTTTGTTCCACAAGACCTGCAGCATTGTCCGTTCGTTTTTCTCCGCCTCGATGGTCTCCGCAGACCACTGCAGCGACCTTACGAAGGTCCTTTCAAGGTCCTGCAGCGTAAGGACCGCGTTTTTATCATCGACCGTCACGGTAAACGAGAAGCCGTTACGATTGACCGTCTCAAGGTTGCCCACGTGGAACCTGAGCTCGACGAAGACACTTACTCGTCTTCCGACGAATCAACGCAGCCTTTGATGGAAGACTCGACTGCTTCCAACATCCCTGACCCCAAGTAGCACGCTCCATCCAAGCCTTCTACTTCAGCCCCGCCGCTTCCCATCGAACCAACTGCCACGTCTTCAGCAGTTCCTCCAATTTTGCGATCCGATAGGACATCTAAGGCCACGCCTTCCTCTGATTCGAACAAGTCGACTAGGTCGAGTAGACGCGTTCATTGGCCAGCTCGATTAAGGGATTAGCGTTCCTTTCACTTTTCTTATTGCTTTTCTTTTCCCTTTTGGCCAACAACATACGAACCCCTCCAAAACTTTTGAAAACGACAAAAAACCAACAAAAGTTTTTTTTGAAAACCCAAAAAACGCAAAATGTTTTGAAAACCCGAAAAAGAACAAAACGTTTTGAAAACACAAAAAGAGCTGCGTTTTGCCTGACGCTTACCTCATCCGGTAAGTGTCACTTTTGCTTTTGCCCTCGCCCCCACCGTCACTGCTCTTGTTTCCGTTTATCTTCCATGTATGAACCGGAGGAGATGCCGAGGCTGAAGCGAACACTTGACCTTCACGAACTCGCGAACATTTGACGCTTACCAACTCCCCCCATTTTGTGTTTTTGGCACCGTTAGGGAGGACACGGGTGGGAGCCCGCTAGGGTCCGATCGCCTGGTTCTCCCCCAGCAGCTGCATCAGGTTTCACTACCTGGTCTCGCAGAAGGCTGGCCCGCGACGGACAGTCCTCACGTAGATCGAAGGGTCACCCACGGTTTCCCTTCTAGGAGGGGGGCTGTGTAGCGACCTGGAGATTCCCCCGTATGACTGTGTAAACTATTCTAAAATACATACAAATTATAGCTTTCTTATGTATTAGGGAACTAGGCGGTTTGCCTGTTGGAACATTGTTCCCGTTTGTTGAAAACACGAACGCCATCTCCGCCTTTGGCGCGCGCGACTCGATTGCGAACGACGCTCTGTCAACGCACTCGACGCCATCGACATTCTCCCTAGCTAGCTCTCTCCGGGTGCCCTATTTTTAGCATTAGCTAACGCTCCTCCCGTCCAATAAACTTTTCCCTAGCTTACTGTTGTGTCTTCTATCCATTATTTTTGGTTGGCCGTCTAGTCGCGTACCGGATATATAGCGCACGATCTACGCGCTATAAATTTGCCCATTTTCTCTGGCCATAAGCAAGTTGGTACAGCAGGAGCGAGGTTTGCGAAAACCGTGCTGGCCACCGGATATCAGATCCAACCGCTCGAGATGAAGCCGAAGTGCCCTTTTCAGGACCCATTCCATGATTTTGCATACTATCGATGTAAAGCAAATGGGCCGGTAGCTAGCTGGGTCTTGCCGGTTCCCTCTTTGTATTTGGGCTTGATGATGCCCATCTTCCAAGCGGTTGGTAAAAGTCCGGGCTGAAACGATCGACCTGTGAGATAGGTGAAGCAATGTACTGGGTCACATTCTTGAGGAACAAGGGGTGCAAGTCGTCAGGACCAGGTGATGAGTAAGGATCCAACTCACAGAGGAGTTTCAACACGGCGTCAGTGTTAAGATCGACGTGCTCTAACAGAGAAGGGGGAGAGCACACTGGTCTGTCAGAGAGCGACACTGATGTTGAGTACACTGAAGAGTATTGCCACGCCAGGCTGGTTTTGTCGGTGTCTTCGTGAACTGCATCCCTACGCTCGAAGGAATAGATTCAGGTTTCAGATTCGGATGGACTGGAACGATAGGAAGTTCAAGTTCAAGTGGGACCGGAACTGTAGGAAAATCCCGCGAATGTTCCATCTTGGAAAACGTCGTTGATACGACGGGGAAACCGGTGTCTTGATGTGCCAAAGGAGCGCGAAATTAACACACACGATTCACATGGTCAACCAAACAATGCCCACGTGCCCTGTACTGGCAGTCCCCGCTGTGCCGGCCACGTGAAGAATGAAAGAAAACAGTAGTGTCAGTAAAGAAAAGAAACGGAGAAGACATGTAACTGTTCCGTCAGAGCAGGTTTGAAATGCCGAGAGAAGGTCGGGCTGAAGTGGAGCGCACAGTAAACACACACGACAGTAACTCGACTAGTCTATGAATGCGTTAACACATGTAATCGGATGAGGAAGGAGCGTCACGATATCCAGCGAACGCAGCACGAAGAGATGCAACCAGTCGGGCAGTCACCGACCACGGAAGGAAGAACACGACGGGAAGCAGCAACGTGTGTCTTCGACAACCAAAAACGAAGGTACAACCAAAACAAAAACGCAAGTCGTTCAAAAATGGTATAAAAGGTCCGTAGGTGCATCAAATGGGAAATATGTTCATAACGATTCATTCATTGTTCAACGTGTTCGAGTCTGAAAAAGGAAAGAAGAAAGAGAATTAGAAGTGGCGGTTCGTTCAAAATCCCATTACAGTTTCCGTTTCGTTACACTGCCCCCTTCTGCTTTGGGCACTGCCCTCAGTGCCTCCGTGTCTGCTGCCGTAGCCATCCCGCCTTCGGGTGGTATCTCTACAGTTCCTTCCACCATAGGTAGGCATCCCGGGGGAACTATTCCGTCTAATGGGGCAGAGTTCGATGACGTAGTAGCTGGTTTCAATTGATTGTAATGAACGGTTAAAACGTCTGATCTCGGCTTATTGACACTCCGAATTACATATACCGTGGGGGAACGGACAAACACAATTTCGTAAGGGCCTTGCTATTGGCGATGAAATTTACTGGACGCGCCTGCAGGAGGCTTCGGTCGGTGCAGCCACACATGATCTCCTAGTGGTATTCTGGCCCGAGACAGCGCTGGTCATAACACTGTTTTTGGCGGTTTTGCGCATTTCTCATGTTTAGCTGGACGCTGAGGAACACAGATCGAAGACGCTCCCGTAGATCGCGCACATACTCCAAGAGAGAACAAGCCTCTAGCGGTGGGATCGGAGACATCAGTTCTACCGGCAACCGAAGCTCTTGACCGTGCGTCAGATAAGCTGGAGAGCAGCCCGTGGTTGCATGCACTGCCGCAAGGTAAGCCATCATGCATTGTGGTAAAAGCTCATCCCAACGATTCGTCTGTTGTCGTTCAATAAAAGTTTGGAGGATTCCTTTGATAGTTCGGTTCGTATGTTCTACCAGTCCGTATCCCTGGGGGTGATAGGGTGTAGTCCGCGTCTTCCTGATAGAGAGCAGCCGACAAACTTCGCGCATCAGTTGGCTCTCGAAAGCAGCGCCCTGATCTGAATGAAGTGACAATGGGGCGCCATATCGAGCAACCCATGCGTTTACAAAAGCGGATGCGACCGTTGCTGCATCGGGTTGTTTGATTGGAACTGCTTCGCACCACTTCGTAAAGTAGTCGACGAGGACTAAAATGTGTCGATTCCCATTCGCCGTGATTGGGAAGGCCCATCAGATCTACACCAATGCGTTGACCCGGTGCGGTAGTGGCCATGGACATCAGAGCAGCGCGCGGTACGGTTGCAGGCGACTTCACAGAAGTACAAAAGTCGCATTCGTTGCAGAACTTGGTAACATCGGCATGTATCCCCGGCCACCAGTAGCGTTGGCGTACAGCAGTTTCCGTCTTCCTCTGACCCGCGTGGCCTAACTCATTGTGAACTTTCTGTAAAACAGGTGGTATTCGCACCGTCGGAGTAATAAGTTTCGGACCAGACTTATCCAGCAAATACAAAACTCTACCGATGGCTTCAAACTACCCCAATGTCTCCAGAGTGCACGTTCCTCTGCTGCTCGAGATTGCATTTCGATCCCAGAAGGTTTCGAGGATCCATCCAGTTGACGCTTGTATATGTTGGAGATGTAAGGGTCATCCGACGGGTCATTGGCCCATGCTTCATCCACCTCTAGATCACGTAAAACCGCGTTCACTTCGTCCGATGCAGGAAGTCTGGAAAGCGCGTCTGCCTTGGCATGTCGTGCGCCGGGCCGGTATTCACATGTGAATTCGTACTCTTGTAACTGTTCTTGCAATCGCGCGACTTGTCCCTCAGGGTCACGGAAGTTTCGGAGCCACTGAAGAGATTGGTGATCCGTTCGAACCAGAAACGGTTTTCCAATGAGGTATGGTCGAAAGTATCTGGGAAACTTGACCAAAGCCAGTAACTCGCGTCTGGTGGTGCTGTACCTGCGCTCCCGTTTGTCTAGACGGCGGCTAGCGTAAGCAATCACAACTTCGCCACTTGATGTTTTCTGTGACAAGGCTGCTCCTATCGCGTCAGAACTGGAGTCTGTATCCAGCACGAATGGTCCCGCTGTATCAGAAACGTCAGGAAGGCCAAGAATTGGTGGTGATGATAGACATTCTTTCAGTTGTGTGAAAGCTCGATTACACTCATCGGTCCAAAGGAACTGTCGGCCCTTTTCGGTCAGGCGATGTAGTGGAGCCGAGATGGTAGCGAACTTACGAATAAACCTGCGATAATATGAGACAAGTCCCAGGAAGCTTCGTAGATCCTCCACGTTACGTGGTCGTGGCCACGATTGAACCTTTTCACATTTACTAGGGTCGGTGTTGATACCGTTTGGTGTGATGACATGACCAAAGAAAGTAACGGCTACGCAGGAATCGGCGCTTAAAAACTTTCAGCCTTAGTCCGGCCTGCCGTAGCCGTTGCAGGACAATGCGCACTCGGTCATTATGTTCTTCGACGGAACTGCCATGGACTGTAACATCGTCCAAGTAAATTAGGCATTCCTTCGGCACAAGCCCTTCCAAAACCTTTTGCATCAGCCGTTGCAACGTTGCGGGAGCGTTTGAGAACCCAAAAGGCGTTGTCTCAAATTCATACAAACCCGATGGCACGATAAAAGCTGTCTTGCCTCGATCAGATGGGCGGACCTCCACCTGCCAGTACCCAGCGGCCAAGTCGAGGGTTGAAAACCAGCGTGCACCATGGAGCGCATCGAAAGTAGCATCGATACGTGACGGCGGAAAAGAATCCTTTCGGGTAACCTCGTTCAGTCTCCTGTAATCTCCACAGAGTCGTAGAGATCCATCTTTCCTTTTAACTAGGACGATGGGAGAGGCCCATGGTGACGTTGACGGACGAATAACGTGCTTCTCCAATATGTCCTTAATCATATTATCCAGTTGAGGTTGGTAGGGTATGGGGACTCTCCGGGCCGGCTGGCGAATAGGGTGTTGGGCGCCCGTGTAAATTTCATGCTGATTTATGCTTGTACGTCCAAGCTTGTCATCACCAAATAACTCCTCAAACTCTCGGAGCAATGAACAAAGTTGCATCTTGTGTTTTAGAGGCAAAGTCGTAGCATTATTTAGGGGATCGATTACGCCGGACATAAACGGTGAAGCTTCAGGTGGTTCGAGCGAAACCGGACAGGAATGCAATGAACTCAGACCGTCGCCTGTGCTGTTCCTTAACGGATCATGTGTCAAAGTAGTGCTGGAGAGGTAAAGAGTACTCGCGTGTTGGCCCAAAAAATCTATTCCCAAGATGGCTTCCCATTTAAGGTTCCGATAGACTAAAAACTCGTGAGTAGCTGTGATTTTGCCCAAACGGACCCTGGCGATTGGGGAGGATACCACTGGTAGTTCAGACCCGTTAGCAGTAACTACACGTAGTCGTTTCATACGGAATGCTCGACGATCACCGAGAAGACTGGCTACATCTAATCGCAACAGAGAACATGATGCTCCAGTGTCAATCAAAAAACGCAAAACAGCATCGTTAAGGAACCCAACCGTGGTCAACGGACTAATTACCGCATTACAAACAAAAGCTGACATTAAGTGTTCAGACCTACCTCGGGGTCTTCGCGGCCTGATTAGGGGATTGTGCCCGCAGTGTTGAGCACGCTTTCCAAACCGGTGGCAGTACCAGCAACTCGCGTTCGGCGGGTTCGGTGTAGGCGGAGTGGTTTTCATAGTTTCGTGTATCTTCGCTGTGGTGGGACCAATCGCATGGCATTCACGAATTCCAGGGTACTCGGAAGTGCTGTCTAGTATTTCCATTGCCTTTGTGTCCGCTCATCCTTCAGCAACTCTTCGAGGCGGCATGGTAGTCTGCGCATCAACTCGTTACGAAGCGACTTGTCGCGCAAGCCCATACAAAACGTTTGCAAACACAATTCTCCCGTGCGGAAGACGAAAGTTCTGGGAAAGCTTTCAGTGCGAGGTCTCTAAGCGCACGTGAGAACACATCCACCGTTTCGCCGGGCAACTGGTTGCGGGTAGCCAACCTCTCCTCGTAAGTCACAGCAGGTTCTGATTTTACAAATAGACGGCGCAAAGCCTCCCATATCTCTGAGGAAGAAGACTTCGGAGTAATACCCGTTGAACGGATGAGGCGCAAAGCTTCGTCCCTCAGAAAGCTGAGGCTAAAAATTCCGACATCTTTCTCGGGGATAGTGGATAAGTAGGCTGAGACCTGAAATTCCCAGTTTTCAAAGTCGTCGTCCGGCTGAAAAACTGGCGGCTGTCGGGGCGTTGGACGAAAACCATGTGAACATTCGTGTGTAAAACAGCGAACAATAGATTTTACTTCGGGTGGGCTGAACTCTTGGTTGCCCATTTGTGTATG